AACATTGAGAAGCATAAGACAGTTGTAAAATCTGAGGGGAAATAAGAGAGTGGTATCTATGGAAATTAATTCAATTGTCATTAAAAAGGTCATAGATCATAGATTAATGTTTCTAGGATGCCATTTGCTAAGCCTTAAGTGGAAAATTTATTTATTGACTAGTATGTAAGATACAACATTGTGCACACACACACACACACACACACAGAAATATGAGATGTTCTCAGCCCTTGAGGAGCTTCCATCCTGTCTGGAGAGATGGCATATAGACATTCATGGACAGATGGTCCACAAAAGAAGGCAAAAACTGACTTCATGTTGTTATCTAACTCTTTTTTTTTTAGATCTTGGCTCACTGCAACCTCTGCCTCCCAGCTTTGAGCAATTCTCATTCCTCAGCCTCCCGAGTAGCTGGGAATATAGGCTCCTGCCACCACACCCCGCTAGTTTTTGTATTTTAAGTAGAGATGGGTTTTCGCCATGTTGGCCAGGCTGGTCTTGAACTCCTGACCTCGAGTGATCCTCCAGCCTTGGCCTCCCAAAGTGCTGAGATAACAGGCGTGAGCCACCGCGCCCAGCCAGCTCTCCAGTCCTTTAGTGCTATTCTGCAGTTTTGCCAAGCGTTGTTGCCCAGCAAGCTGTGCCATTGAAAATGTAGGGCATAGTATTCTGCTGAAATCTTATGAAGCTACAGGAACCAAAATATAAGTACTGTAAACTCTTCTCCACCCACAGAGATTGCTATTCTCATGTGCAGCCAGGACTGAGCATAACTATATTACAGAGCTTCCATGCTAGTAACATGGTGATTGAAACATCATTAGCATCCAAAGCAGCTGCTTGTAATGAGATAATGGTGGTTTTAATAAAATAGGGGCTTGTTTTCCTCATATTTTGAAAAGTTGGTGGCTTTGGATCACTGACTTGAAGATGTCACGGATGAGGTCTTTGTGATTTTCTTGATATTTCTTATAATTCTGTGGGTTGACCATTCTGCTTCATGTGGTAGTAGCTGGGGTCCCAGGACGGCTGAAAGATGTGAAATGGCCTCACTCATACAGCTGGTAGTTGCTGGTGGTCCCTGGCTGGGACCTCAGTTCTCCTTCACATAGTTTCTTGGGTTTCCTCATAAAATGGCAGCTGGATTCCAAGAAGGAGTGCTCCACAAGGATGTACCCGAGTGTGCAAGTGCTTATCAATCTCTGCTACAGCATGCCTGCCAGCATCCCATGGACAAAAACTAGTCACATGGCCAAGGCCAGGGTCCACATGGGAAGGAGCTGTACATAGGCACGAATGCTGGGAAGCAAGGGACATGAAAGTCACAGCCCACCATAGGTGAGCATCTAGCCATCTCAACATGGTTAAGGGTTTGTAAGCACATTTCTATTGCAGGGAGATGGCAGCAAGGGAGGAAACTAACAGAGACCCACTAAAATAGTCATGAAAGAAACATTTTTCATGTCATTATCCTTCCTCCTCCTCCTTCAGGAGGTACAGAGAGACAAGTGTGATATCCCTGCCCACCAGATTCAAAACAGACAACTGCATGGAGAGAGTGCTCACTCACTTGCCATGTCAGGCGATCCAGTGAATGTTGGAACCACCTTCATGAAGTGGACATAGCTGGAAGGCAGAGGTAAAGGCACACATTGGGTAGGAAATGTGGAATGAATATATTTGCCCTTGGGAAAAACCTAAGGAAGAAGTTTGACATCTAGAGCCTTGTTTAAGGAATCCTCCAATGGAATTTGTGAAAGAGAAAAAAATGAAATTTACTGAACTTACAGCTGGACAAAGTGTGTCAGAAGTGAGTGCCCCTAACGTGCTAAAAACACCTTCCGTTTATATTGGACACAGTGAAAACTCTGTATTTTTTCTGTTCCCAGTCAAGCTGCTCATCTAAGGAACCACTGTGAGTAGTAAATCTTTAAAACATTGGAGGAAAAAAAAAAAAAAAACCCTTTTGGGTTGCAAAATGCAGAGGCAAACATGAACAGTGGGGGCATGAGGGTGGAGATGCCCACTGCACTTCCACACTTTGCTCTTTCCAAAGGGATAGGTCACTGAAAAAGATGCAATCTAGATGCAAATGGGAAAGCTGAGAGATGTTCAGCGTGGGCTCTTTTGGTCCAGGTGAGACAAATGTGCAGATGTTTTTCTAATGAATGTAGCTTAAGGAGCTCCAATGATGTGAAAAGATCTGGAAGAAATTCAAGGAGTAAAAAGAAAACAAATGGGACTAAATGAGCACAAATATTTAGATAGGCTGAACTCCTAATGTGCAAGAGCATACAATTTGTATAATATATGAGAGTTTGTTTTCTTTCAACCCCTCCTTTTTACTACTGTAGTCTCGTGTTGCTTATTAAAAACAAAGGAAGATATTGATATTACACGATATGTGCATTTACTAAAATAAGATATATTTTTAGTTCTGGCAAATTATTCTGGAGACCCTAAATAGGTAGATACTAACCCCAGGAGCAGGCATATCTGAGCATTGTGCATTCTTCTTCAGAGGGCATGCTTGGTACTTTATCTGGGTTCAGTTACAGAGTAGCCTGCATTTGTACCACTGTTCTTTAGAGTTAACAAACTATTTTCACATCCTCTTATAATATTTTTACCCTCCTAATTATAAAAAAAACTAAGGCAACAATTACTACCTTATTTTGCAGATTTAAAAAGCAGTTGCAGAGAGTTTTAGGTATTTGTCTACAGGGAAGAGTCAAAACTAGAACTCTGGTTTTTTGAGTGCTAACCCCAGAATCTGTTTGCTACATGATATGATTTGGCTCTGTGTCCTCACCCAAATCTCATCTCAAATTATAATCCCCGCATGTCAAGGGAGGGACCTGGTGTGAGGTGATTGGATCGTGGGTACAGTTTCCCCCATACTCTTCTTGTGATAGTGAGTTCTCACAAAATCTGATGATTTCATCAGGAAGTTTTCCCTACTTGCTCTCACATCTCTCTCTCTTTGACTCCCTCCATGTAAGATGTGTCTGCTTCTTCTGCCAAGATTGTAAGTTTCCGGAGGGCTCCCCAGCCATGTGGAACTGTGAGTCAATGAAATCTTTTTCCTTTATAAATTACCCAGTTTCTTTATTTCTTTATAGCAGCATGAGAATGGACTGATACACTACAATAGACTATGTCCCTGGGTTATTGGAACCTCATTCACAGAAGCACAGCAGAAAGGAGGCACTGTGTGCCCCTAAACTGAAGCAAGAGCACCGTTACTTCATACATGACTGACGAAGGCCTAAGTGGTTGTAGACGCTCCAGCCTCCAGAGCCCGAGAAAGCCTTCTGCCTCTAGCAACAGAGCTGATGAAATTCTGAAAAAAATTCTCCTCCACAAACACAAAATTACTAGATAAGACACACCAAACATTTGGGCAAATGCACAGCTAAACTTCTAAGAAAGTAAGTGAGATTCACAGGAAATAAAATGTTGCAACTAGAGTGATGTGAAAACTCAGAAGCACACGCATCTGCTGATCCTGAGAACCTGGTCCTCTGTGGGAGAACTAAGGTAAAGGAAGAAGCTAGGGGTCTCAAATATCAACTCCCTCAAGCAAAAAGTTGGGTTAGGAAAAGAAAATCGATTTTCCCACAAAAGAAAGTCGACAAGACAATGTGTTTGTCTCAGGCATTGGTCAAAGGAATAAAAAACAAAAATGACACTTTCCTGAGAATTTATAATCCCAATCCTGTCCCCATGGATGTTTAGTGCCTATGCTACTTACGTGATCCAGGAACCCCCAAGTAGAAAAATTAATTTTAATAGTAAGCCATGCCTGTAATCCTAGCACTTTGGGAGGCTGACATGGGAGGATCCCATGAGCCCAGGAGTTTGAGATCAGCCTGACAAATATGGCAAAACCCCATCTCCACAAAAAATAAAAAATAAATTAGTCGTGCATGGTGGCATGTGTCTGTAGTCCCAGCTATTCAGGAGGCTGAAGTGGGAGGATCACTTGAGCCCTGGGAAGTTGAGGCTATAATGAGTGGAGATTGTGCCGTTGCACTCCAGCCTGGGTGACGGAGCAAGACCTTGTCTCAAAAAGAAATTATTTAAGAAGTATTTCTAGTTTATAACACCCCAATACCTGCCATTTGTCGGGAAGCACCTTCAACTCAGACTATTCAGGATTCCTACATTTAAGAGGAACCTTATGTGAACAAAGAACATGAGAAAATAAGCTCCCATAAAATAAATCATCACTCAGCACAATTTATGGACAAAATTAGATCCCAAAAACATTTTGGGCATAGTATATTATCTAATTAATAATGTAATAAGCATGCTTAAACTCTTTATAAAGTAACAGAGGAAATGAGGTCTCTAAGAAATGAACAAAAAGCCATCAAGAATAACTGCAGTTTTGAAAAGAACCAAATGGAATTTCTAGAAATGTAAAGTGTAACAATTAAAATATAAAATGTAGGCCGGGCGCGGTGGCTCAAGCCTGTAATCCCAGCACTTTGGGAGGCCGAGGCGGGTGGATCACTAGGTCAAGAGATCGAGACCATCCTGGTCAACATGGTGAAACCCTGTCTCTACTGAAAATTACAAAAAATTAGCTGGGCATGGTAGCGCGTGCCTGTAATCCCAGCTGCTCGGGAGGCTGAGGCAGGAGAATTGTCTGAACCCAGGAGGCGGAGGTTGTGGTGAGCCGAGATCGCGCCATTGTACTCCAGTCTGGGTAACAGGAGCGAAACTCCGTCTCAAGAAAAAAAAAAAAAAAAAAAAAAAAAAAAAAAATATATATATATATATATATATAATGTAATAGATGGATTAAATGGCAGATAAATTGCAACTGAAGAAAGAATGAGTGCTTTGCTTTGAATGTGTCACCTCAAATTCATGTGTTAAAAACTCAACCCCCAGTGCAATAGTGTTAGGAGGTAGGGCCTAGTAGAAGGTGTTTAGGTCATGTGTGCTTATCCGCCCTCATGAATGGATTAGTGCCACTGTAAAGTACTTACGGGAGTGAGTTTTCTTTCTTCTGCTCTTCTGCCATGTATGGACACCAAGTTCACTTGTTTTTGGCTGTTCCACCTTTCATCATGTGATGATGTAGCAAGAAGGCCCTCCTCAGATGCCAGGGCCTTGATCTTGGACTTCCCAGCCTACAGAACTGGAGAAATAAATTCTTTCTTTACCCAGTCTCAAGTATCCTGTCATAGCAGCACAAATGGACTAAAATAATTAGTAAATTGGAAGAAAGGGCTGAATAATCAACTTATAATGCTGTACAGTAAGGTAAAGATATGGAAAGTATGAAACTGAGGCTAACAGACAAAGAGGACAAAGTAGATGTTCAGAATGCATCTAACTGAAATTCCAGAAGGATAGAATAGGCAGAAAGAAGTACAGGCAACATTCAAAGTGTTACTGAAAAACATGAATCCTCAGAGTTAGGGAGAGATGTGATTTCTCAGATTGGAGAAGTGCACCAAGTCACAGGCAAGACAAATAAAACAAATGCATTACTACAAACACTGTAAGAAAACTGTAGAAAATGGAAGACAAAGCTATCATAAAAAGAACCAGAGAAAAAGATGATATTTCCTAATAAAAAACAACAATTTACACATCGATTATTAGAACAGAAGTAAGAAAATCCAGAATCCAAGGAAACAATTCAAAGTGCTGAAATATTAAGTTACTCTGGAATTGTACAGCCTGTTAAACTGTCATCCAAGACTAGGGGCAAAACAAAGACATTTTCAGAAGAATATAGGAAGATATCCTTATACTCTGGGACCTCCTTGGCTTCTTCAGAGGATCATTTACACCTGTTTCTATCACACAAATCTCTATGGTTAACAAAATTATAGTCAGTGCTGTGCTAACATTTGATGCCATTGGCAGCATCTTTAAAATTATTTAGGCTGATGGGTCCCTGGAAAGAAAAAGCTGGGTTAGATGACTCTGAGTGCTTATCTCTAGGTTCTAGCCATTCATTTTGCCCTGTCTCCCCTTTTTAGAGTCTGGTTGTTGTTGACAATATGTTAACATTACACACACGCACATACACACACAGTGTTGGGAAAAATCTGCTGGAGGAGATTTTTGTGAAGGGTAGGAAGTTTAGGGCAATTATATTCAATATCTTTTGTTGATTTGTGGGCAGGGTGAGGAGATTCAAATTTATTTATTTAGAGATAGGGTCTTACTCTGTCTCCCAGGTGGGAGTGCAGTGAAGTGATCACAGCTCACTGCAGCCTCAACCTTCTGGGCTCAAGCAGTTCCTACCTCAGCCTTCTTAGTAGCTGGGTCTATCGGCATGCACCATCAGGCTTAGCTATTTTTTCCATTTTTTGTAGAGATGGAGTTTTGTCATGTTGCCTAGGCTGGTCTCAAACTCCTGGGCTCAAGATATCTGCCCACCTCAGCCTCCCAAAGTGCTGGGATTACAGATGTGAGCCACCATGCTCGGCCTCATTTATTTTAAGTATGTGCTAAGAAGTCCATGCTATGGGTGAATTGTGTCCTCTTCCCAAATTTATATGTTGAAGCCTTAAATCCCAATACTTCAAAATACAACTGTTATTAAAGATAGGGCCTTTAAAGAGGTAATTAAGGTGAAATGAAGCCATTCGGTGGCCCCTAATGCAATCCAACTAGCATTTTCATAAGAAGAGGTGATTACAAAACCCAGAGAGACACCAGGGTACATGTGCACGGAGAAATAATCGTATAAAGAGGCAGCAAGAGGGTGGCCTTCTGCAAACCAAGGAGGGAGGCCCCAGAGGACACCAACCCTGTTGGCTTCTTGATCTTGGACTTGCAGCCTCCAGAACTGTGACAAAATCTATTTCTGTTGTTTAAGCCACCCAGTTCATGGTATTTTTGTCATGACAGCTGTAGCAAACTAAGACAGTTCACTTTTCTCTTTTCAGGACGTACCTCACCTTCAATACTCATCTAAAGGTTTTGCTTTTTGTCACTAGATATAAAGCTTTCACTTTTCCAGGAGAAAATTCATTTTCTGAATAACTGGCATAAAGTGGTCCCAACAGACTGAGGTACTCCCTTCTGACTCCCCTAGGAGGTCTGAGGGCTGCTTTGCACCCAGCAAATGGTCAATCATACTGGCTGCCTGGCCGTCACCGAGGTCACCCTGGGCCTGAGCCAGATCATTGAGTGAGCTCTCCCTTTCTTTTCAAAGGATCATTCCTGTGCTCTTCTCACCCAGGACTCCCTAACAGCAGAAGATGAAATTTCCAAGCTGTGTTATGACCTCTGCTCCTTGAACCATCCATGCCCCAGATGTTTACTTTTTTGGCTCCAGGGCCTGCATTGATTCCTAGGAGTGAGATGAAAAAGACGTTGAAAGCCCAGGCCAGACAGTTCCCTATTCCAGATATGGAAACTCTGGGAGACAAACATTTCTGATGCTGCAGCGATGCTAAGGAATGCAGAGGATTCCTACTGCAAGGAGACAAAGGAAAAGCTTTGGTAGCCTTGAGAGCTATAGAAAAATGTAAACGATTCAAAAGTTCTAGATGATTGCATATTGTTTTAATCTCTTCTGCTAGCTGATTTTGGTCTCAGTGGAGTTTTAAATGTTAAAGCTAGGAACATGCTTAGTAGAATATTATAGCTACTAATTCTAGTGGTCTCTTTTTTGACAGTGGTACTTGGAGCCTATGGTTTCTTGAGGTACCCCAGGTGGTGGGATTCAGGAAAGGGGCCCCTCATTGTTTAATTTCCATAGATCAAGTACTGCTGGGGATTAGAATCTATGGTCCTGATTCCTAAACTAGCACCTCTCCTCCTAACTGAAATACTTAACTTAAAGTTAATACCTTTAGGCTAAGCTCAGTGGCTCACGCCTATGATCCCAGCACCTTGGGAGGCTAAGGCAGGTAGATCACAAGGTCAAGAGATCAAGAGCATCCTGGCCAACATGGTGAAACCTTGTCTCTACTAAAAATACAAAAATTAGCTGGGCATGATGGTGTGTGCCTGTAGTCCCAGCTATTTGGGAGACTGAGGCAGGAGAATCACTTGAACCTGGGAGGCAGAGGCTGCAGTGAGCCAAGATTGTGCCATTATCCTCCAGCCTGGGCAACAAGAGCAAAACTCTGTCTCAAAAAAGAAAAGTTAATACCTTTGTTATTAACTGTAAATAAAGATAAAGTTTATTATTAACTATAAATAAATATATATTTATATAAATATATGAAGAAGGATTATACATAGTCATTCTGTTGAACTGAAATGCAGCCATAGTCTTGCTTTGGACACGAAAATGTGAACAAAAGTGATGTGTGTCTCTTCCAGATAGAAGCTTTAAAGTTTCTGTGTGTGATTACCTATAGTCTCCACTCCCAACCTCATTTTTGGAAATCACAGCAGTAGAGCAGAGGTGGGCTTCCATCAGCCTTGGGTTCTTCAGTGACTACAATATAAAGAGTTGCTGCCAATCCACATGGGAAATGTCATGTGAGCAACAGATGAACTTGGCCTGTTAAGCTGTTGAGATTTTCAACTTGTTTGTTACTGCAGCACAACCTAGCCTATCTTGACTAGGAATACAATAAATAGATTGTTTTCACGTCATAAACTTCTGAACAATTTGAATTAAAAGGTTTTTTATTTAAAATTGTTTTCTGCCAGGTATGGTGGCTCATGTGTGTAATCCCAGCACTTTGGGAGGCAGAGGTGGGTGGATCATCTGAGGTCAGGAGTTCAAGACCAGCCTGACCAACACAGTGAAACCCCGTCTCTACTAAAAATACAGAAGTTAGCTGGGCATGGTGATGGGCACCTGTAATACCAACTACTCGGGAGGCTGAGGCAGGACAATTGCTTGAATGTGAGAGGAGGAGGTTGCAGTGAACAGAGATGGCACCACTGCACTCCAGCTGGGTGACAGAGTGAGATTCCATCTCAAAAAAACAAAAACAAAAACAAACCAAAAAAAAAAAACAAAACCACATCGTTTTCTGAAAGGTAGTGCATACAAATGCAGGGAGCCAAACATGTTTGAATGAGGAAGAGGCACTAGACTGTTTCCAACAGCTCACCAACTGGGGCTCTCACAGTTTTAGTTCAACTCTTCTGGGGTGAGACTATGTGAGGGCTAGCAATTTTTTTTTTAGAGGCACAGATATTAAACATTTTCAAATTGCAGATCATGTAGCTCTGTTGCAACACCCAATTCTCTCACTGGGATCTCAAAAGTGGCCATAGATAATGAGTAAATTAATGCATGTGGCTGTGTTCCAATAAAACTTTATTTATCCATGCCCTGGATCTGGGGCATAGAGACCAACATCTGACCCCTCAGATTGCCAAACCCCTGCTAACTACACAGGAGGAACCAAATCAGGTTGTAAAAAGTACTCACTTGTTCATTCATTCATCTATTCTTCCCTTCAACAATGATACTGATAGCCTTCTATGTTCTAGCCAGTGCATTATGCCAATGGGGACAGAGTGGAAAACAAAACTGACAGACTGTCTCAGTCTGCTCCTGCTGCAATAACAAAATACCTTGGACAAGGTAATTTATAAACAACAGAAATTTATTTCTCATGATTCTGGAGGCTGGGAAGTTCAAGATCAAGGTGCCAGCAGATTTAGTGTCTGGTGACAGGGCTGCTCTCCGCTTCCAAGAGGGCACCTTGCTATGTCTTCACATGACAGAAGAGATGGAAGTGCATAAGGGACTAGCTAGTTCCTTCAAGCCATTTTATAAAGGCACTAATCTCATGCATGAGGGAAGAGCCCTTCCAACCTAATCTCTGTCTAAAGGCCTCACCCGATAATACTAGGAAAATAAGCTTGTATAAGTCTCTTCTCATGCTGCGAAAAGACATATTCGAGACTGGGTAATTTATAAAGGAAAGAGGTTTAACTGACTCACAGTTCCACATGGCTGAGGAGTCTTCACAAACATGGCAGAAGGCAAATGAGGAGCAAAGTCATATCTTACATGGTGGCAGGCAATAGAACTTGTGCAAGGAACTCCCATTTATAAAACCATCAGATCTCAAGAGTTTTATTAACTACCATAAACACTGTATGGGAGAACTGACCCCATGATTCAAGTACCTGCACCTGGCCCCACCCTTGACATATGAGGATTATTACAGTTCAAGGTGAGATTTGGGAGGGGACACA